ACAGCCAGATCTCTCTCTCAGCACTTCAGATTATCTACTCTTTCCATTTGAGCTGAAGGCAGAACCACGCAGGTGCTGGGCTGCTAGCTCAGCTAGCAACATTTGGAGTGCAGGAGCTCAGTTCAAGCCCTGTTGCAGGCAGAACCAGAACTAGGAGGCTTCTCCCACTGCAAGGGACTGAGTATGAATTTATCTGCATAGCCCTGCCTCCAAGGCAAGCAGGAGATGTAACCCACTCCTGAATAACCTTCATTCAGCTGAAGAGACAGGCTTCGTGGTAAGCCCAGCGCTATGTTTCCATTTAAGCAGAAGTGCCTCCACATTAACAAGGGCAAATGTCCATAAAATGTTGACCTTTCTGAGTGGGATTTTTGAGCACTCTCTTGCTTACCCTCTAGGGTCGTCAGAGCGACAGTGACACCAAGGCGGGTCGGAAAACCAAGGAAATTGAGGACCTTGTCACAGAGACGGTGAAAGGGAAACCTGAAATGGTAGGCTATGGGAGAGCTCTAAAGGAGTAGGTTTATAAAACTCACAGCTCCTCGGTAGGGGAACTAAGAGGTTGGGGCTGCATAGGTTCTTTCCCATGGCCTTGGAGAAGTATGAACTTCCATGCAGACAAAGGCCATTCTACTGAATTTTTTAGAAAGAATAAGAGGGAGAACTATTAGATGCAGAGAAGGCGTAGCAGATGTAATTGGTTGCAATATCTCCATTGGCTGCTTAATGCTATGAAGTTTAATTTGTTGGAGGGATGAGGAAGGCAAGTCATAGAAAGTTCAGGTGCTTCTAAAGAGTAGCCTGTGTTACTTCCTTGAGAAGGCGTAGCAGATGTAATTGGTTGCAATATCTCCATTGGCTGCTTAATGCTATGAAGTTTAATTTGTTGGAGGGATGAGGAAGGCAAGTCATAGAAAGTTCAGGTGCTTCTAAAGAGTAGCCTGTGTTACTTCCTTGGGTGTTTGTTCTCCTATGTCCATTTATCATACTGTAAGTTTAAGGCTGTTTGCAAGCATCCCGTAGAGTTTGCTGTGAATTGATCACAAATAAGAATGAGAGTTGGATGTATTTTCACCGAAACTCGTTGGCAGTGAGGTAGAGCTCATGAGGTTTCAGGTGTGGGGCTGGGTTGTTAACAACTGATGGAGTTCATTCTCTCCCTCTCCCCCCCACAGCAGACCACAGCTTCCCAGCAGATGTTGAACTTCCCTGATAAGAGCAAGGAGAAGCCTCCAGACATGCAAAACTTTGGGCTGCGTACTGACATGTACACCAAGAAGAATGCTCCCTCCAAGGTAGAGGGCAGGCAGAGGGGGGATTTGCTCAGATGCTTACTCAGAGAGGCGTGGGTGCTAATGTGCGGTTTTCTCCCATAGAGCAAAGCTGCTGCCAGCGCCACTCGGGAGTGGACCGAGCAGGAGACGCTGCTGCTGCTGGAGGTGAGCAGAACAAGAGGATTCCAATTAAATTATGGACTTATGACTTGCTCATAACACTTCGTAAGGGATCCTCTCCTTTTAATTGCTAAACTCTTGTATCTGTTTCTAGCAGCATTCCAGTAGGTAAAAACTAAAAAATGGTGCAAAAAACCTATATTTTTGTTTGTTTGTTGATTGGTTGGTTCTCTGAAGCCCTCCCACTTTGTGTACCCACGTACAGACAGTTCTTTTTCAGACTGGAGTCGTTTGCTGCTTTGTCCAAGATGGTATTCTTTCCAGTATTGTTCAGCAAGTTGGATGCCCATATCAGAAGATTTCAGAGTTGCTAAAGTGACATGGTTTCAGTGAGAAGGCTCTTCTGGTTATTTGGAAATAATACTGATAATAAAAGGCAACTAGAATAATTTCGCTTTTATTTTGGTTTGGATGTTGAGGCCATCATACCTTGACTGTACCTTGTTTACCTTAACCATGATTAAGTATTACTTTATGTTCTGCCTGAGTACCCAAACTGTGATGTGAAATCATGGTTTGTGTTAACTGTGCTTCAGTGTTACGCCTTCACCCAACAAATCAGGGTTAAGTCACATTTCTCATCTCT